AAAAAAAAAAAAAAAAAAAAAAAAAAAAAAAAAAAGGCAAAGATCATAAATGGGAGGAAAAAATACATGAATAAGCCACCTGGCTAGCTATATTTTTTTTTTTTTTTCCCGACTAGCCAATGAAAACTGCGCAAATGTTATGAACAGGCAAGGTAAAAACTTCAACCTCGGGTGCAAATTTATGAACGTGTGGCATAAGTATGTTGTCAAATGGTAAACGGTGTGAGAGGGGGCAGGCGATTGGCGTGAAGGGGGAGCAAAACGCGCTTCTAACACCACTTCGCACAACATCTTCGCCTCTTAAAACCCGCTCCACAGATTTTTATCTGTTCAGCTTATGTTGAAGAACTGCGTGGCGCGCGCGCGTGTGTGGGCGCCTTCGAAAACGTAATGAAGCTTCATGTCGATGTGCCTATTATTCTTGCCGTTTTTCCTAAGCGCAAACATTCCGCGCATCACTTCGTGTTTCTCCACAGTGAGTACGTGGTCCGTATACAGCACGATCTGCTTCCAATGTGTGTGTCCCCCGTATGGCCCAGTGGTAAAGCTGATGTCTGTGTGGCACGCAGAAAATGAAACATCAAACCATATGACCAGTGCATGCAAATAATCCCTTTTGATCATTTTTAATCGAAAGGGAGAAGCAAAGGATAAGTCGTCCTTTGTGCAAGTGTTTAAGTCCAAATCTAGTATACAGCATGTATCAGTTACGATAAAATTTTTGTCTACATAATCAATAACGACTTCTTCCTTTAATATTGGCAAAACTGAAGTGTAATTTAGTTCATAACAATTTTTCCAAAAGTCAAATTTTTCTTCCCTATATAAACTATCTTCAATGCCAGCAATGTACATGTATGCCTTATCCGGAAAAAGCAATCCTCCTTCCCTTAGCCATTTGTCTCTACAGTAAAGAACCGTGTCCAGCATATTTTCATACAAGAGACAATAACCCATCCACTCTGATATTATTATGTCGACCTTATCTACCGGAAGTTCGATTTCTTCAGCCAGTCCTTTCAAGAAAGTTATTTTGTCTGTTAAATTATTTTCGTCTCTAATTTTTAACGCTGTGTAGATGATGTTACTTTTTTCAATACTGTATACATGCTTTGCCCCCGACATGGCAGCAAAGAAGGAGAGGATTCCTGTTCCGCATCCCACGTCTAACACTATTTTGTCCTTTATTAAATGTTGGTTCTTCCTAATGGCATCGTAGTAAGTCCTTGTCCTCACTTCATCCTTTATCATGTCCTCATGTATGTGGATATAGTTGTATGAATTAAAATACTCATTGTTTCCACCGTCCAGATCCTTCTCCTTGTCAAAAACGAGGAAATTTTTTCTCTCCCCTACTTCGTTTATTTTTTCTTTGCAGAATTTTTTCCAAGTGGTAAAAAAGCTTTGCAACTCTTCTGCGTTAAATCCCTCGGGTTCAATGTCCCCGTTGTTACCCCTGCCTCCCTTTTCATTGTACACGCCTTCCCTCATTTCGAATTTGTTCTGATTCATTTTGTTATACTTGTTCGCCATGCCTCTTGAGATGTGAATAGGCGCGTTGGTTTCACTCGCGGCGCGCTTCTGGCTCCTCTATCTCCCTTTTGGCAGCTCTCGTTCGGCTGGAAGGGAGAGGGGGAGAAATTACCAAAAAAAAAAAAAAAGGAAATTGAAAGGAGGACGCACAAATGGGATGTAAAAGAGGGGAGGAGAAAGTTGTTGAGATACCAACTTGGCTGAGCAAAAAAGCTGTTCTACAAAAATGATCTACCCATGCAGGAGCTATATCGCTCTTTTCCCATTCTCTCTTGTCAACTTTTTCGATCAACGTGTGAAGGAAAAGAAGGGACACAAGAAGGGAAAAAAAAAAAAAAAAAAAACACACAAAGTTCAGGAAGTAGGAGGCGAGGAAGTTGCTCAAAAATGTTCTATCTTTCTCATTCAATGTGAAGCGGTTAGCATATTTTCACGTGTGCCGGACTGCTGCTCGTATTGCCTCTTTTCCCTTTTTTGCTTCGTGCTTTTCTTTTTTCGTGTTGGCTTTTTTCGCTATAAAAAACGGCGCCTGTTCTACGCGTGCCTTCGCAATTGTTCTCTTTTGCTTTCTACTACATTTTTTTTTTTTTTTTGCCTTTACATGTACATGTATTCTTCTATTTATCTATATATATTTAATTTACCAATTTATCCATTTATTATTTTTTTTTTTTTTTTTTTGTGGGTGGCCATTTCCAGCCTACATTTGCGCTAAAAAATAAACGACAGTCATGTGGAACATTTTACACGGCGCATTTTTTTTTTTTTTTTTTTTTTTTTTTTCCTTTTTGCAAGAGGGGAATGTAAATAAAAAGGGTGGGCATATAGACGTAAGTGAATTTTCCATTAAACCTTTTTTTTTTTTTTTTTTTCTTTTTTCTTTTCCTTTTTAGCGTGTACGTAGGGGAAAACACTTTTTCATATGCGCTTGCACGCACACCTACAGGAAAGGGGGCAGTTCGATTGAATCTGTTTTGGTTGAGCACAACCCCTTTTGAAGTTTTTTTTGTTTTGGTGCTCAAAAAGATGGTGACTTGTGCTTGGCCGCGTCGATCGGGCATACAAGCGGACACAAAGGCAAGCAGGGTATTCAACCACACGCGCGTGAATATGTGCGTGAGTACACTCCAACACATTCGCCGCAGGGCAGCCACCCTGAAATGGAATTGTGCAGAGAAAAGCATAAGTTTGGGGGGGGCGCTACCAGTTGAGGTGCCGGCAACTGTGAGGGGATAATATATATATACCCCATGAGAACAATGCCGAGGTGATAAAAAAAAGAAGGCAAGCCTCCTTTTTTTTTTTTTTTCCCCCAATCGCCCCGCTTCCCCTATCACAACACAGACTCGTACTCGCGCTGCGTCTCCTGCACCACGTCGTAGGATATACACACGTCCTGCATGTTCAGGCATTCTCGTTTCTTCCTAAAACAATTGAGCTGCTTCCGGATGTACTCCAAATTCTTTTCCCTCTTGGACTCCCTCTCGAACAGTTGATCGAGTGAGCTCTTCTCCTCACTGGTGTTTCTGCAAAAGGAGCATCCCAACTTTAAAATGTGAGTATCTCCTTGCTCATTACCAACAGCAATATATTTATTATTGACATGTGCATCTATTTCTATGATGGAAGAATTACAGACTTTGTGTTTAATAATGGGTTCATTGAAATTATAAAGTAGGTTCCAAAAGTCGAGGTAGCCGTCCTTCCTTGCTAAAATGAAAAAGGAAGAGTCGCTAATCCACAGACCTTTGTTAATAACACACTCGTCGTAGTAATTCGAGATTATAGGAAATTTAATGTCTTCTGACCAGATGTTAAAACCCCACTTGTCGGTAGATAAGAAATACTTCAAATTGATTGGGATGCGTTTGATGCTGGTAATGCTAGACAAATGTTTTTCGTTTGAGGCTCCATACTTTTGTAGCAGCTCTAAATTTTTTGCTTGTCTCTTAGAGAGGGAGAGGACGTATCCTTCGTCTGTGCCCACCAGTATTTTGGAAGGACCCGCCTCCAAGTTCCATTCGAGGCAGTTGGCGCTGTAGCAGAGGTTGGCGGTGGGGAGCGCGATTGGGTCTTCGCCGCCTCCACCACCATCACCCGTGTCTGTAGCGGTGGCGTGCAACGCTTGATTAGTCACCCCAGTGGCCGCTACCACCCCAGTAGGGTTGCTATCCCCGTGAGTGACGAACTGGCTCATGTCTACCCCCCCCTGAGAATTCTTCAATGAAGAGACGTCCAAATTGGAAGTCTCCACGAGGTGGCAAACTTCTCCCCTGTCCTTGTGCAAGGAAAAGGACTCAATGTGATCATTAAAATTTCGTATGTCCCACAATAAGCAGAGCCCATCATTGGATATAGAGAGGCAGTGGTTGTTCGTTTTCGTCTGTAACCAAATAACATCCTGCACAACATTTTTGTGACTAGCATGATTGGAAGAAGATTCACATAAGTTATTTTTCTTGCGTAGGTCCCACAGATTCACAGTCCCATCATAGGACCCAGCAAGTAGGAGATCTGAATTCTTGTGATTAAACCTTAAACATTTTATAAACGTTTTTGAATATAAAATTTGATACGGATTATTAATTTCATTTAAATTATATAATAAACAATTTTTTGGTGAGTCATTTAAAATTTTTTTATAATTATTAACACAATATGAGATGGCTAGTCTTTGTGTATTATCTGTTGACCATTTGATGGAAGTAACATACCTCGAGTATTTTCTAATTTTGTCTTTAATAATTATCATCGACTTTATTTTGAACTCCTCTTCAGTCTCTTTTTCATCTTGGAAATATTCTTTGTAAATAGCTATGCTATTATTTTTGTTAATAATTCTCGTCGTTTCATTCATTAATATTTTTACGCTGTTAATTGTATTTATGTCTTTGTCTAATCTTTTAACATATTTTATTTTATTTTGTTGATCACTCAGATCTATATCTTTTGTCCATCCTCCTTCATTGTGATAAAAAAATTTGTTTTGTAACTTAACGCTTTCTATATTTACATAACACTCACTTTGTTTTTTTACGTTTTCATCACTGTAGTATATATTTTCCTTGAACATGTATTTATTTTGCAACTCTCCGTTTGGCTCAATTCGCCCCACCACTTGGCTCTTTGACTTGGTGAACCCGCACGGTAGCCCGACATCGCTCTTTTTTTTTGTGTAACAGTGGTAGTAGTCGATCATTTCGCATGGAGCAGGGGAAGTGAACAAGCAAGCGTAGGGGTAAGTGTAGCGGCAAGCGAAGCGGCAAGTGTAGCTGCGGGAGCACCTTCGTCTCAGATGAAGCGTGCCCGCGTTGGGGTGTAATTACGATGGATGTGGAGGCACCGCGGACGGGGGAAGAAAAAAAAGGGGGGTTGCTTCTCCCTCTACGTGCAGACGCGCGACTTTTCCTAACACTTGGAACAGTGATTTTCGATCCAGCTCTTCTCTCGCGCATTCACCTGCCTGACTAACTTGTCATCTGCAAACCTGTACACGAGACTCTCCTTAACTTTGCAATACCCGTCGCCTAGGGAGGAGAAAAAAAAAAAAAAACACAGCGGTGTGGGTGTATGTACAAGTGCATGTGCACACACTTCCATTGATGGCTAGACAAAAAAAAAAAAAAAAAAAAAAAAATGCACACACAACTCGGTATGTTCCTCAAAAGAGGGAAGCACTCGTATACCTATGTCATATATATCATCCAAGAAGGCATTCGTTTTTTCCTCTTCTAAAACAATTTCGTTCTTGTTAATTTCTTCTTTAAAGAAATAGGGAGAGTCCACAAGGTATTTCCACCTCTCCTCATACTCCAATCCGTCACTGTAGTAGTACTGTCCCTGGACAAGTTTCCCGTTTGCCCAGGTCCCTCTATACTCCCCCTTGTCTTTAAAGGCTAGGGTACCTATCTCCATGGGAACGGTGGTAAAAGTGGAAGGGGTACAGTTTGTTGGGGGAGGGGAAGGAGAAAAATGGAAGGACACTCTTACAAATGAATGAAGTGGAAATAATCCACTTTTTTTTTTTTTATGTTTGCTTTTCAAGAGGGACGTGACCCCCCACACACACAAGCCCTCTGACCCACCTTGCCCATGAAACTTCTCATTCTTAAATTCTCCCACGTACACATTCCCATTCGGGTAGGTATACCTCCCCCGCGTTTTCTCTTCGTCCAAGTACACGATTTGTGACATGCGTGCGGGGGGAACTAGGCAGAAAAAGGTAGGCAAAAAAGGTAGGCATAAAAAGTAGGCAGAAAAGGTAGGGAGAAAAAAATACACACCGAGGTTGGACAAAGCGAAACTGCTATCCCTTTCCGATGTTTGTCCCGCCTTTGAAAAAAAAAAAAAAAAAAAATGTGGATCCCTCTCACCGGTTAGGGAAGTTCAGAAGAACTTTTTTCCCACTACTCCCTGTGCCAACCCGCTTGTGTGTGCACACTTTTCCCAGTGCGCGCTTCTTTCTTTTGAGTAGTCTCAGAAATCACGTCTCACTGCGTTGCACTTCCCTTTTTTTTTAAGTGAAAACGGGGAAAAACACACCTCAGGGGGGGGGGGGAGGTTCGGACAAATCACATGTCTATGCGTGTCTTCCCCTTTTTTGGCGAGTTCGAACCATCGGGTGTGTTCTTACAAACGCCGTGGCGATTCAGTTATCTCAGTTTCGCAAAGGACTGGAGTGGAGAATACATGCAGGCACGCTACGGATATGTAGGGAGACGTTACACATATGTAGGGAGACGCTACACATATGTAGGGAGAATAGCGCACTGTGCATAACACATACGAGAGGGTTCTCACAAGAACCCCGCATGGATTACAAAAAAGGGGGAGGAAGTGCTCCCAGTAGGGCACGGCGGCGTAATCGCACAAAAGAGGTAGGCCACACCAACCGATGCGGCACGCATCACTTCATCTTGAGCGCGTGGGACCAGCGCAGAGACACGTACGTCGCGGCCTTTATCACAACGTAGAAGCTGATGAGGATGAAGATGGAGTAGGAAATGTGTAGCTTTGCAAAACGCTTATCTATGATGACCTCCCCTGGGAAGGAACCCTGGCCTTGGCACACTGCGGAGAGGTTATCCTCAGAGCATTTGATAAGCGCGTCATTGAACTTGATTTTGGCTAGCACCGAGGCGGAGTACGTTTGGTAGGACAACCACTGTAGGTATCTGAAAGGTACTTGCAATTTCGCTATCTCGACGTAGAACCCATTGGTGAGCGTCATGGTCAGCAAAACAACAGAAAGGAAACTAACAGCCTTGCTGAAATTATCAAACAGGGTAGATATAAAATACCCCAGAGAGCTACTAATTAGAGCATTTAACAAAGTCACAAAGGAGTAACTTACATACACTCCAAATTTAAGCGTCCCGTACAAAATCAGATGTGTGATTAGAACCCAAAAAGCAATTAATGTGAAGAAAAAGATAAATTCTGCAAAAAGCTTAGAAAAAAAATAATTGCTCACTTGGAACGTTTTCATGTTCCTCTCTTTTGCTATGACTTCTCTCTCTGAAGGAAAAGAGTACAATGATAAGTAGGCCGGATAAAAAGTCCAGTAGGATAGAATAAAAAAAATAGCCCCAATGGTATCAATGATCCCATCCTCTGTGTCCTCTTTAAAAGTTTTTGACCACAAGAATCCAAAAAGGGTTAAAATGACAACCAAATCGATCACCTTCACTATGGTAATTTCATCAATGATAATTTTTTTCAATCCTCTTGTAAGGAGAAAAAAGTTTTGTCTAATGTATGGTGTCTTTCTTTCTTGTAAAGAGATTAACACTTCTACTGCTTTTAACTTTTCCAGATCCTGTTCCCTTGCCTTATTTATTTCTTGTATAGAAACAGTTGAAGATTTTTTTCGTACCCCCAATGGTGACTTACCGCTGCTGTGTACTTCCTTACTCTCATTTCCTTCCTTCGCCAACAAGGAATCATAGTCATCATGGATCACTTTATTATCAATAGAGTCTGTGTCCATGTAGTAACCCATCTCTTTATCATACCGAAGATACTTGTTATAATTTTCCAAAAGGATGGATTCATATTTTGTGTTGCACAATACGTCCATCAGGTAGTCTGCAATATTCCAGCCGTAAGGACAAATGAACCCAACTTTTTTTAAGTACTTACTTAAGTTGGTTGTTTTCCCATGGTATATTATGTACCCATTTGTTATTGCTATGAGTCTATCAAATTTACTAAACACTTGGCTACTTGGCTGATGAAGAGACGATATGATGGTGGTATTCGAGATGGTAGCTATTCTCTGAATGCACTCTACTAAGGACAAAGCTGATGATGAGTCTAATCCACTCGTTGGTTCATCCATGAGAAGTAATGGTGGGTTCGATAAAATTTCATTTGCTATGGAGAGTCTTTTTCTTTGTCCTCCACTTATCCCCCTTACAAAAGCATCCCCTACTATGGTATCCTTTACATGGCTTAGGCTCATTATATCCAATACCGAATGCACCAATTCACGTAACTTGTTTTTGTCTCTAATGTCTAACTTTAACTTGGCAGTAAATTCTATCGTTTCGTATACTGTTAATCGTGAGAAGAAATAATCATCCTGCAAGACGTAGCCCATGTAGCTCTTTATATTCTTATTCCTTTTCGTATCGTTAATGAGGAAATTTCCCTCCACACCTTCCGTCACTTTCATGGACAAAATATTCAACAGTGTTGTCTTTCCGCTTCCGCTGGGGCCCATGATCACTGTTATTGTTTGGGGCAGCAGGATGCCCTTTATTCCGTGAAGAATTTCAAGCTTCCCATGATCCACAGTGTACTTTACGTCTGAGAACTCGTACTTTATTTTGTCGTACGCAGCGTGGGGGTCCTTCGCGCAAGCCTCCATCATTGAGGTGTGGGGGTGAAGCTCCCTAAAGTTTGCTTAAGGTGGTAAGTGTCCTCTTTCTCCCTCAGAGGTGATCTGCGTGGTGGGCAATTTTTGCCTCCTATTTCGCTCTTGCGTTTGGCACCTGTTTGTCCTTTTCCCCCGTTGCGCATCCTTTTGTGCCTTTCCTACGCGCCTCTCCACTCACCTTCTATATGTCGCTCGTGTTGATGTGTGTACTATCTGCTTGCGTTGTGCGTATGTTGGGTCTTCCACGAACATATGCGAAAACTTTCGGCCTTAAGTTTACTTCACCTTTCGCTGTCTGTGGTGGCTGTTAAATTTTCTCCACTGAACAGTGTTATGCTGTACATTCTTCGTTCCGTGAATACAACATGTACCTTTGCCTACTCTACTCTTACGCATATGGACCGAGCGCGCGCGCTTGGGTGTTATATACCCACCCCCCTAGCGCGGTCTACCCCTATCGGCAAATACCCCCACGCAGACGAATGTACGTACACTTATTTCGGTAAACGAAGCGTCAGTGGGTAAACAAAACAAAAAAAAACTGACCCTTTTTTTTTTTCTACCTCCCTAGTTACACATACGTGTCACAAGCGAACGATAGCCACTGCGAGGCTTCCCAAAAAAAATGACAAAAAAAAAAAATTATCTTAACTAGGACATAGTCTGGTAAGCAATTTATGTGATTGAAAAAAATTGCGAAAGAGCTTCACAGTTCTACATTCGCTAATTTGCTTAAAGGTAAAGAAAAAAGCAACATACATTTGCTTTTTCATATGCATACAACCACTTATAGACTTTTTTCCCCTGTTTCCATCGCTCCAAGAACGTTTCGCCCACTTTTTCCTGTTCTTATGTCGTGGCACCTTATACCCTACACACTTCGGAAACTGGGTCCTCTTGGTCACACGCGATGGGCTGAAAACTGGGACCGTTGGCAATGCTGCATGTTCGCGTGAGTAGGGTGAGCAGCGAAGGAGGTAGCCAAATGGGAAAACAATAAAAAACATAAACAAAAGAAAAATATAATAGTAACAGTAATGATGAAAAAAAGTCATAATAAATAGCTTTTTTTTTTTTTTTTTTGGAAAATTATGACCCGATCAGAATGTTTTTCCTCCAAGGTGTTCATCGCCCCCTCTCCCCCCGTGGCATTCACCGCTGCGCTACTTTTCTTCACTTCTCTTTTATGTAAGTCCCCCACTTCTTCTCAGATGACCCCATTCACACTTTCCACAAAAGCGTCGTAGAATTTACTGGGCTCAAAAAACTTCACAAAAAAAGGGTTACACAAGCCACCTCCCACCCCTGTGGAATAAAGAAAGGCAGTTGCCTGACTTGTTAAGGTAAAAAGGTGTACGTAAAATTCCCCCTCCGGTTTTACCTTGTATATTTTTTTCATATCACATTTACCTTGCTTCAATTCGTAACAAAATATTTTGCACACATTGTAGGAGAAGTGGTGGGTTTGGGGGGCATGCGTCTTTTCGTTCTCCACGAAGGGGAGGTTTTCCTGCACATAGGTTAGGAGATCCTCCAAAAAGTGAATTGTTTTTTCTATTAACATATTTTTAAGTACATCATTTTTGCACACGTTGAGAAAGTACACCCGATTTGTTGAGTGTCCCCATTTTTGATGATTCTTCGAAAAAATATTCACGGCGAAGGTTATGTGTCCATTCACAAAATGGACCAGATATTTCAGGGCAACTTTATGGGTACCGCTTCGATTCCCCAATCGAATTGACTCCTCAAGGGGTCGTTTCTCATGTGGACACTTCTCCAATCGGAAGAAACTTTTCACCACCTTGTTATTCACCTTGGCCTTGCTAACATGGCGCAGTTTTCCCCTTCCTGTGCACCCACCGGGGATGTTAAAAATAGATAAATTTTTATTAACTCGCTTTTTTTTGCATATATGGTGTAACAATCTTTGTACTTCTTCTTCGTTGAGGTTGGGTGGTGGGTCACCATGATCATGCTGACTGGTAGTTATTATGTCTCCCCGGTGAGATAATGCTTCCCTTACATATAATAGAACACCCTTTGCCTCCTCCTCGAATTGATTCACTATGCCCAGTAGTTCTACCCTGTGTGCGTTTACATTCAAAAGGGCGTTTCTTCCGACGTAGAGTTTGTCCGCCATTTTGTCCATCAGAGCTGGGCCCAATATGCGAACCGTCTTTTTCATGTTTCGCAGTTTGAAAAAGTTGGCGTAATCTTCTTTTTCTGCGTGCGCCATAGGTGACTTGCCACGGCTATTAAGGGGAGTGCCCATATTGGCCGGTTTAGCGGCGTTAGCTGCGTTGGCGGCGTTAACAGTTTTGGCGGCTGTCGCTCTGTGAGCAGAAAGAACCTCCTCGTAGTCCACTCCGCTGTCTCCTCGCACCCCCTCAGGGGTGGCTTCTGCGCCGCCCGAGAAATGCTCATCCATGCACACGGGCCTCAAAATAAACGTATTCATGAATGTTCCTTTTGTCCCTCGCGCTCCTCTTTCCAAGATGTGCGATTTGTTACTCAATTGTTCACCCGTATGGGTGGCACCCTTTTTGTCGCGCTTGAGGAGGACCCCCATGCCGTTTCGAAGATACAAATAAATTTTTTTCTTCCACTTTTCTCTTTTAATTTGTTTGATGAATTCGTCGAACCGGCTCCGCTGCAGCGCTTCCTTGCATGTCGCCTTTTCCCCCCCCTGTTTGGGTGTCCCCCTACTTCCACCGGCGTTGTTGAGCCACGTTTGACACAAATTTCCAATCACGTACAGGTAAAAATATAGAAGCAGTTTGTGCATTTTTAAGAGGAAGGGAAATTCTCCCTCCTTCAGAAAGATCCTCCGTATGGCTTTCTTTCTTTTCCTTTTTAACCGTTGCAGTCCTTCCGCATGGGGGTGGAAGTGCGCAAGGGAAAGTTGACCAAGACCATTGCGCTTCTCTCGAGTGGAGGTATGCACACTACTGGAGCGCCCCTCTTGTGCGTAACAAACGTAAAGGTATGGAAAAGCTACAACCACGTGGTGGACGTGTCTTAACATATGCACGAGGTCCCAGTTGGCAAACTTCTCCCTTTTATGACTAAGGCTAAACAAAAGGAAACATACTCTCTTCATTATTTTAAAGATTATTCCTCTGGTGGATAAAACTTGGAAGGCATAAAGTAGCTGAACCTGTTGAAGACTCTTTTTCTGCTGATTTTCCGTTCCTGTGTTTTTATCGTTTTTATGCGAGGGGGAGGGATGAGTATAGCCAGTTGTGCATTCCATTAGGGGACCATCTCTACCACACCAGTTGGTGTTAAGTATGGGTGGGAAATCCTTCCTAACGAAGTACACACATATGCACTCGCTCCTTTTCGTCCATCTTATTGACATCCTAAATTGTCTGCACCAGGTTAACATATGAGTAACATTTGTGCAGACCTGTTCGAGTCTCCTTTGAGCAAAATGTACATCCACTTTAGGGTTAAAGAGGTTGCACTGGGTTAAAATGGGTTCAATTTTGTGAAGCAGGTTGGGAATGCCCTGTGTGGGGGGATACTTTTGGTGTCTTCTTTGTGGATCTCCTGTGATCACTTCTGTGGAGTACTCCTCCTTTGCCAGGAAAAAATTATCTTCAATGTCGTAAAAGGTGTATGAGTAAATTTTTTGTTTGTTCTGTACATTTTTGCCGAAGCGACGGAATTTTATGTACCCCTTGAGAGTCCTGTTTGTAAGATATTTTTGGAGCTTCCTGATCAACTTTTTCTTCTGCTTATACATAACTCGAATCGAATGAGACAGTTCCTCAAGGAAGGAAGTAATGACTGGGGGGGGAAGTGATGTAACCCTCTCCTTGACCAAAGCACATTCAGTTGGCGTAGTGTCCTTACGCAATTCATTCGAAAGACACACAATTTGGTACTGGTCTCCTCCATTAAGGATGCCCAAAATGGGTGAAATAAAAACAAAGAAGGACTTAGTCATTTTGTGGAAGGTCAAAAAAATTTCCTTTCCCCTTTCCATTTTGCATGTATAAATATGTATATGACAATTTGGTTCCTTTAACAATTGGTAGATTTGTTCTGCACAGTTTGTTTCATTTTGGGGGGAGGGATAGTACTTGTATTTTTTAGGGCGATAAAATTTGAGCCACTTTCTTTGCTTTCCGGAAAGGGGGGTAGTAATACATAAATCGACCTGATCCCTCGCATTACCAACATCCCCATCGGTGTATCTGTGTTGAGTACCATGCACATTCTCCACAAGGGAATTGCTTTTTTTCGAGTGGCACACCTTACCCGTTATATCATTCTTCAAATGAACCGTAATGACCCTTCTATGTGGAGTGGACAAAGTGGAGCCGTTGTCTTTCCATTCATTATGACCCCTGTGCTGCTCTTGCGTAGAAGTAGAGTTGAGATGAAAACGATTTTGTGAATGGTTAAATTTTGCACTGATTAGAGAGTTTAAAAAGGGAGAAAGAGTCACCTTGTGATAGGTTCTGTAGTGGACTAACAAGAGATACCGATCAACGAACTTTTTGGAGTCCCCTTTCGAGGGTGGTGGTTCCCTTTTCGAGTTTGCTTCTCCCCCTTGTACCTCGTCTAACTGAGGGAGGGGGAAATTCCCCCCATTTTGGCACCCTACATTGGTGAGAGAGTCATGTGTGCATCCCCCACTTTGTCTTTCCGTCTGGCGTTTGTCTATGCCATCCCTCCCTGCTGTCGCCACATCGTAGAGGAACACTATGAGGGGTGAAAGTGACCCATCTTCTGCCTTTCCCAATAATTCCTTCTTCACATAATGAGTAATTTTTAAGAAAATAAAAAAATCTTTTTCTCTTCTAATCAGTTGGAATGCCGTTTCGGTGGGGATGGCCCGATCAGTCCATCTGACCACTATCTGTTTGCTTTCCTTGCCAATGTGAATTTTTCTTTTTACACAACAGAGTTGGAAGGGGTAACATTTATTATACCTCCTTGCACCCCTGGAGTGACAAAATGTATCATATAATATTTTTCCTATATATTTTGATTCGATTTGTGTATATAAAATTCCTTTTTTTTTTTTTTTTTTTTCACTCCTCCGTTTTCCTCTTTCTCTGCCTCTAGCAGGGGGGAGAGTACATGTTGGACTATCGAGTACCCCCTCAGTCTTTGCAACTCTTCTTGTAACCTTTCCTTGAGCACCTGTTTATCCTTCTCTAGGTTCATCATTTCAGTTGTATCATCCTTTGAAGCGCTCTCTTTTAAAACTGCTGGTGTGTGTGTGTGTGGACCGCAACCAATCCCTCCTCCTATAATATGTGTAAAGTACCCGACCAGCATGGGCATTATATGTGTAGTGAATATTTATATGCATTACCGGCATTTATTTTTTTTTTTTCCTCCCTGTTTTCAAGGACATAGCGACTTCTAGTAGGATAATTGAAATGGCTAGCCTTTTTAAAGGCAACTTTTGGCGTGCCTTTTTTTTTTTTTTTTTTTTTTTTTTTTTTTTGACGATTATACGTTTTAGGGTTTTGGATGGTCCGCCCCAAATTGGTGTTTTTTTTTTTTTTTTTAAATGGAGAACGCTAGTGCAAACGCCGCTTTATTCTTACAAAAGCGTTGCAACCTTGTCGACACGGAAGCGCATGTAACTACATGGGGCTGTTTTATATAATGTAACACAAGTGATTTAGCGCACTTGACGATATACAAAAAAAAAAAAAAAAAGATTTTCCACGTTTGACGCTGTTCCGAACTGGTTAGCCACAGCTACCTACTCCTCGTGGTGAACTATGCCCACATATCACGCATGTACAATTTTGGCAAGCACACATAAGTGAGGGTTGGGGGTAGACCCAACGAAGTATATATATATATATATAACTACTCTTTTATGAAGTGTATTAAATAGGGGGTGGGTGGGAAATCCACACATGTGTTTGTCTGGGTAGGGGATAGATAAAAAGGTAATAACCCCCCCTTCCCACGCTAGCCCGTATTTTGCATGCCTGCTGCTATCGCCTTGATGGAAACTATGAGGGCGTCATTGAGGGAGGTGTAATCAATGTAGGTCTTTGTCACCTCGTCATATGTGGAGTGGTTCGTTTTGGATGCGGGTCTCTCATAGGAAAGACTTATGTCCCCTAGATCTTCAAAAAGGAAATCATTTTCGCCCTCACTTTGTATGTAGGCGGAGGAGTATGATTCAAGCAAGGGATGAAACTTTGGGTTTTTAATTAATTTGCTTTTTTTCCTGCTCAAGTATGAGTGAATGAGCTTGCTTCTTTTCCGGCTGATGGGACTTTCATACGGGCTGTCCATCTCATCCTTGGTCAATGAATTACCTACTTTTTGTTCTTCATCATTTGGGTTTCCCTTCGTGGGTGTGAGTGGACCACCATCTGCTGTGGCGGGGTCAGTAGTCGGGTGATGGGCGCTTTGGCTAAGCACTGGTTCCTCTCCGATGGTAGCATCGATATTCTTTTTAGGTCGATCCATCTCTTGTACCAGTTCCCACTCGCGTTCCTTCTCCCGCAATCGCTTAAGTGCTTGAATTTGAATCAAATTACATACGACGACCCATTTAGTCCTGCTCTCAATGGAACGCTTCGTAAGTAAGTCGTTGTCACAGAAGGTCTTCTCATTTGTAACGAGAGCCGTAAGTTCCATGGCCTTCTTTAATTTCTCCCTGAGCATGACACCAATGTACTTTAGTTCCTGAGGGACCAGAATGTCATACTCCTCGGTAATTTGCAAGCTGGCCTTGGCCATAACCATGCTAATAAGGTTAAAGAAGCTTGTACAGAAGGGCCAATTTTTATACATATCTTGCATGAGCCACAATTTATCCTTTGTTAAGAGATAGTCATACAGTTTTTCAATTCCAAGCCATACAGGTAAATGCATTCGGTTCTGTGTCCACGAGAAAACCCAAGGGATTGCTCTGAGCGATTCTACATTTCCTTGTTTCCTCTTTGATGGTCTTGATCCCAAATTCAGTTTTCCTATTTCAATCTGTGGGGTTGCACATCTAAAGTAATTCACAAAATTTTTATTTTCATACACGACCTGTCTGTACTCTTTTGTGGTCAGTTGGCTCATTTCATCCATGAGCTCTCTCCATTCGTCCTTCACCAAGACGGTATTTTTTAAGAGAGAGCATTTCAGTAGTGCACTGATATATGTTTCAATGGAGCGTAGCATCATACCCTTAAGGCCAAAATCTTGTGCAATGACTTCTCCTTGTATAGTAACCCTAAGATAATTTTTTATCGTATTGATTGGTTGTGAGAGTATAGCTAGATGTTGTGGTCCTCCTCCTCTACTAACACTACCTCCTCTTCCATGAAAAAATCGGACCTCTACAGAATATTGTTTTCCTATGTGTACAAGTTTTTCTTGTGCTTTGAATAATTCCCAAGCAGATGTGAATCTGCCTCCATCTTTTCCTGAATCTGAATAGCCAATCATAATTTCTTGTTTATTATCAAAATGGGTTCTTAAATGGGTTCTATACCATGGGTTCTTAATTAAATTTTCCAAAATGGTGCAAGAAGTTTGAAGAGATTGAATTGTTTCTAACAGAGGAACAACTCTTTGTGTCTTTCTCTTTGCATTTTTTTTCAATTCCTTTTGAAAAACCTCCACTAATAAAATGTCTGAAGCGTGGTTACACATAGATACGATATATGCCCCCAGTGAACTCTCCTCAATTTGTGAACACACATCAAAAGTTTTTATGACGTTTAGGAAATCGCTGGGGACATCTTCCTCCTGTTCTATATTTTTCGGTATTAAGGGTCTATTGGATTGAAGAATGTTTGTAAGGAAATTTATTTTTTCTTCTTCACACATAAGGGAGTACTTTTCAGTTTGTAATTTCTCACATATGTAATCCATGGCCTGAATGTGTTTCTGTGATTCTTGTCTAATGTCAAGTTTCATGAGGTGTAGGCCAAATATTTTAACATTTCGAATAACATCTTTTAAATACCCTTCAGCAATGAGAGCATTTCCCGAGTCAGACAAACTCCTATAACACTCCATAAGAATTTCTTCAAACTCTTCTGAATTTTTAAACATTAATTTTTGAAAATTCTTATCTACTGGTTGGTGAGAAATGAGAGCTTTATAAACTTGCACAGTACTTTTGAGCTTAGCCCAAATGACTAGAAGAGCTCTCCTGTATATTTCTCTCTTGTTAGACTTGGAAAAGGGAGAAAACCAAAGAAATTTTTGTGCTAAATATTTTTTATCTTTATCGAAGATATATTGAGAGACGTCATCTTCGAGGAGTTTAACATACGTTTTAAAATTTTGAGTACAATGGTGTAGGGTTAAATTTCTTATCAGTTTTTCTACCATAGGAATGAATAATTCACATCCTCTTATTCTGTTCATGTAACAAACGTATCTTGTAGTTTCAGGTAGAACAAATGGATTTCCATCTCTGTCACCTCCTGCCCATGAAGAGAAGAGACAAATGTTCGACTCCAATTTGATTGGAGGTAAATTATATTCATAAAATACATTATCTATATACCTCATAATATGAGGTATTCTGTAAAAAATACAATTTTCAACAATGTCGACTAGGGATATGGCTTCATCAATGGGTGTGGGTTTAATTCTTCGAATGACGTCTGTTTTCCATGCGGCTAGTAAATACGTTTTCAAATTATCGTACAAAATTTTTTTTTTGTATAATTCTTTATCTGTGTTATCTAGCTTGAGTAACAGTTCTGCTAGCTGTATGTAATTTTTCAGGAGGGATGTCCTAATGGCTTGTGTCGGATGGGTCGTCAATACAAAGTCTATTGTCTGGTTACACAGTTGTTCATAAATTTGGTTAATTTCAAAGCCGTTTTTAATTAACATGTGGAAAGTTCCCTTTAGCGTTTCATACACAGACCCATATATTCTTTCGTTTGGGGTGAAGGACATATCGAATGCTTTTCTCCTCCTTCCTCTATGAGCCCACTCTGCAAAATTGGATAACACACACATGTGGCCAAATGCATTTACAATGGTACCTAGGTATTGGTCATCTAAATTGTAAATGGAATTTTTTAAAGAATTAAAATTTTCTTGTGTTTGGTTTTCACTGTACTGTTCCGATAAATCATGTATCGTGCATAGGGTTTCGAATAATTTGTGTGGGAGGTTATCCTTGAGCATGTCGAAGAGGAGGAAATCCAGTGCCTTGATGTCGTCCTTGAGGGGCTTTATGAAATCTACTGGGTTTTTGGTTTCCACCATTTTGCCTTCGATGAGGAACTTGAGCTTTCGCTCCCCGCAGGGGTCTCCCCCCTCGGCATTCTCTTGCGGGTCGACCTGTTCCAGCGGGTCATCATGCGTCTGCTCCGGCGTCTCATCTTGATGCGGGTCATGGTGCCCGCCATGGCTGTCCCCTTGGGGGCATCCCTCCTGGACGCTCGCCTCGTCCTCCATCCTCGCCCAGCTACCCTATTGCTGTGCGCGTGTCCTTTCTGCGAAGAAGCCAAATGTGTAAAGCGGAACGACTTAAGTCACACACACACACAACAGGGGGGGAAGCTTTTTTTTTTTCTTTTTTTCTTATAAAAGGGTCAATATGTGTGTGGAGGGGGAGAAAGGAGGCTCTTCACAGGATGCGTTTTTAAAGAGTTCTCCAAAATGCGACGCTCGCGTGGATCTCCAAAAGGGAAAACAATTCAGAAAAAGGCACAAAATTTTTTCACTGCGTTTTTGCAGTACAGGTGGGAACTTCGACGAGGTGTGATCAACGAGGTGTGATCGACGAGGTGTCATCGACGAGGGGGGGTCTCTTCCTGAAATGTGTGTATATTCACCCACGCACATTTGTTAGCCGTGCAAAGGAGAAGCCGACAGGGGAAACAAGGAAAATGCGGTGAACCGTATTGAATTAAAAAAAAAAAAAAAAGGGTACATATACAATTGGATCACATTTACGTGATCGTCTCTCTCTTTTTCATCCGAACGGAGCTGCTAAAAGAGGACACCCCTTTTTTTTTTTTTTCTTCTTGAGTTGGGGTATGCATGTCGTATTAACAGGAACCGAGTGCTCCTTTCTCGTCGTCAAAACGGGGGGGGGGTGAGGAAAAAAAAACTGAGTACTGAGCAAGTGACCAAGCCAAGGGTGTAGTCTTGCACAAAATGAAAATGCGGCACACACACGTTGTGATCGATGAGAGGCGATATTGGCAAGTGCACAACGCGGGGGAGAGGCAAAAAAATTAAGGACGCAGAGCACCTGCGTAGATCTACACCTGCAGTAAAAGTGGAACAGACGAAGGAAACACTCTCCCCTTTTTTTTTGCAGGATAAACCGTTTTGGTAAAATGTCTATGTGTGTACCTTTGGCTTTTTTTTTTTTTGACAAACCTGGCATGTAGCCATCCCCCACCAATCGCATCGCTTTTAAAAAAAAAAAAAAAGCTACGTCCATCGTGTAAAGTAGGCGAAGTATGCGACGGATCATCCCTCCTGTCGCCACAACAGAACTAGCTAATAATTGCAAAGCACAACGTCCGCAAACCACTTGTGCTGCATACCACTTGTGGGCAGAGAAGTTGCCCCCGGAGCATTATCACCAAATGGAATTTAACCCCTCATGCAGCGAAGAGAAAACAGAGCAGCATAAAAAAAAAAAAAAAAAGGGAGGGATTTTATTTTTCCTCTTAGCAATATAATATGGGGCTGTAGAGGCTTCTTTTCTCCTCGTCTTACTGCAAATGTGTGCACCTGCACCAGTTGTGACGATAAATATTTTTGTTCAACTAAATAGCTTTTTAGACTTTATGCCAAAATGGAGTGGCTACTGCTTGGTGTGAGCCGTTTGGAGGGGCCGTTTCGGCGTATGTACATATATATACATATGTATGCGTGTGCGTGGAGGGAAATATCAGGATGTCCATTTTCTGTGCTGCGCGAAGCTTCGTGAGGTACCCTTAACAATACATGTGTTCATGTAGGCAGAAGTGTGTATGCAGTTGGCCAGCAAGAGGGAAGAACGAGAGGTGTAGTTCGTCATCCTAACTGGGCAAGTGTCCACCTGGGAAATTGTAACACATTTGCTTCTTTTTTTTTTTTTTATAAGGTATGGCGCTGCGTGTTCGTTTTTTTGGTAGCTCGGTGGCTGTGCCAATTTTTTAGAAGGGATACTCTCTCTACCAGTCACGCGCATAAACATGCCCCCTGTAGACTTGCGTACAATGGCCACAAAGTGAAGGGGGAAAAAAGACGAAGAAATGCTCACAACGACTGGTCTTTTTGCATTCGTTCCGTTCATTACATTGCATGTGAAAGCAGAGAATTTCTGCTTTGCTCGTTTCATCCCACATGGTGCCATTTACATGTACCAAAAATGAAGTAAAAAAAAAATTATATAAATAAAAAAAAATAAATAAACCCCAAAGTGAGAATAAAAAATCGCTTCAGATGACACAAAAAAGAATAACTGGGGTATCCATCTTAGTTGCGTGAAACGTTTCGCAATTTCTGATCGATGTTTTATTTTATTATTTATTTATTTTTTTTTTTTTTTTTATACTCCCCAAGGGTGTTGCCCAAATTATGCATAACTCGCTTAGCCATTGGGGTGAACAATGGAATGGCATATATATATATGTTGTTCCTGTTTGCGTGTTTGCCCGTCGTTTTTGAATTTTTATTGTCTCCTCCCCTCCACACCTCAGTAAATTATACATACACAAATTTTTTGTATAGCACGCCGATGCCTCTTTTTCCCTTGGGCGTTGATTTTGGCAAAATTTTGGAAATTTATTCCATTTTTTTTTTTTTTTTTTTTTTAAATATTTTTTTTTTTTTAAAATTTTTTTTTTTTTTTTTTTTTTTTTTTTTTTTGCTTTAAATCTCATGGCTATTTTTGCCACATTTGTTTTGTATGTTTTTTCGCATTTGGACTTATATTTTTTTGTTTTACTCTCGTTTGTGTTTTTTGTTGCCCCGTTGGTTCTTTCTCTCCCCATAGATGTTTTTTCTCCATTGATGCGTCTGCCCGTTTGGCCAAAAAAACATGAAGAGAAAATGCTTGTAAGGCGGCACATCGCCTCCCCAACACAACGTGCGTGCCCCAACCTGAGCAGCTACCAAGTTGGCCCCTGTGCAGACCACATCGCAACGTTGAAGAGGGGCAGGGAGGAAACGGCATCCCAGAAGAGGGAAAAAAACTCAGCACACGATCAATACGATTGTATGATCATATAACACCCACACGCCGGCACAGGGAATGCGCTATACGCACTTATAATGACCCTATGAAGGCGCCCAGCCCCCCCCTTCACGAGAAAAAACACGCAAAAATGAATTACATAGAGAGGAACAAAATTGAAACTATTTATAAGGACGACTACACAGACTTCACGAGACTTAGCGACTTTGAAATTTTTACCAAAGATATTTTAGTGAGCCTAAAGAAATTGAATATTGTGGAAACCAAGAGGAAGTATGAAAAGAAATATGCATTTGCTAACGCTGAGCAGAGGGACAAGCCTCTGGCCCCTCTTTCCCTGTTCATCACTGTAGACGACACGTGTAATTTTTTAAAAAAATTAATAATAAAAAAGGATTACTGTATAAAATTAAATTATATTTATTACCCTCATAATAAATGTCAAAATGTGATCCCCTTTAATGTGAATGAAAATTCTCACCTCTACAAGAAGAATGTGAAAACGGTCAACTCGTTTTATTGTTTGCATGGCAATTTGAATTGCTCCGAGATTGTTCTTTTCCCCGCTAGGACTTTTCCCATACAGCGTTTTTTTTTCGGTAATTTTTTTTTTTTTTTTTTTTTTTTTTTTTTTGTGCTGACCACGGTTGCGCAGTTTGGCTAGATTGCGCAGCGATGCGTCCTACCACTCACACATGCGTCTTTTTCCACCGCCCCACTCGCCCCTTAGTGAACGAATACGTGGAACTCGAAGTCATAGACAGGAGTGCCCCGGAGGAAGAGCAGTACATCATCCTAGAAAGTCTGTCCCTGAGTAACCTAATGTTAAACGCGTTGAAGCAAGCCCTGGATGAGTTGGAGATTTGCCTGCCGACCTTCGTTGCGGTGGACAAGAACTACTACATATACCATGGCCATTTCTACACGAGCGACTACACCTACTTTAAGTGCATGCACCCGTACATAACGGTGCACAGGAGGGACTCCGGGGCGGCACGAGGCACGACCAACGCAGCTGTCAACGCAGCCGTCAGCGCATCCGCCATCGATGTGCCCCAGAAGGCCAACTACGTCTCCCTGTACAAGGGCACAGGGTTCGAGGTGAACTACAACTCCTTCAAGTTCTTCAACTACTTCAAATGCTTCTCGTACGACCAGCTGGTGGCCCTCTTCTCCCTCTTCATTTATCTGTCCAACGTGAGGGGGAAAAATATTTACAAAATAAATGTGTATATAAAAAACATATACTTGATTGACAAGCCACAGTGCAGCCACATGCTCAGGGCCATAAATCTGAGGAACAAAAAATTCAGCCTTTTAAAAATGCTGATCAGGGGAAAAAAAGGAACAGCAAGAGGGGAAGGAAAGGTGGGGAAAGGATGGGTAGATTGGAAAAAGGAAAATGAAATATATAGGAAGAAGAGTAAACAAATATACATTTTTAAAAATACGTACAAAAGGAATTCCTACGACAAAAGAATTTTGCCTCACATGTACCTAAACCATATTTATAATTATATAAAGAGAAAAAAATTTTATGGACGAAGAATATTTCTTTGTTGCCATGTGAAGGAAAGGAATGGCTCCCTCGGCATCAGGGGTGATAGTAGTGAGGCAGCAGGCCCGCTCAGGTGGTGGATTGTAAATCGTAGCATTGGAGAAGAGGAAAGAAGAATAGCTACTCGAAATTACCTGTACAGCATGAAAAATGACCTTTTTGGAAAACCCAGTTATTACCAATTTAGCGCTTTAAAGAAGGTAAAATTAGTGAATGCCTTATCTGATGATGCGAGAGGGGAAGATGAGGAGGAGGAACAACAGGAGGTGGAGGAGGGGGGGGAGAATGATGATGATGATGGTGAAGGGGACAATAATGAAAAGACTCTTCCAGATTATTCCGATTCATCTCTTATGTTTTATCCCTGCCCATCTGTAACTCAAAATAGCAATTATGAAGGAAATTTGGAAAATGTCAAATCCAGGAGGAAATCCACCTTTGAAGAAATAAATCGACTATACCATAATTTGAGGAGCCACAAGAATTTACCTAAGAGTGAGAGCAGCCCCTTTGTCTCCATTTATGTGTTGAATTTTATTAACAACATGGAGTATAAGATATTGGGTGGGCTGGCCAATGTGAATGGTGATGGTGGTGGGGTCGCCTCTCATATCGATGCAGTTTCTAATATGAGCAGTGGGATGTCATCCCTCATTGGTGGATCCTCCAACCTAAGTGGAGGCCCCGTTCATGTGAATCCCCACACAAACTTGCGAGGCACTGAGATGGACAAGAGGAAAAGGAAAAAAGGAGTCATGAATGTTTGGAAAATCAGATTCATTAACAATGATAAGTACAAAGGAAAAAATAGCTTCCTCTTAAAGAATATACTTAGGCTATACTATAACGAGTTATTAGAATTAAAAAAAAAAAGGAATGACAATGGAAAGCAGTGCAGCAACGATATGATGACCTCGGTGCAACACTATGTGATGGAGTTCATGTCACTTAAAAACAAGGAGTGGGTAAAGGATAGGGAAATTGGAGCTTATAGTTGCTTCAACATCGAGGAGGATTCCACAAGGTACTACATCGACAAGGTACTTAACAACATGTTTAGTAGTAATAAAAAAAATGTGTATGAATGGCCTCGGGGTCGGGGGTCTAGAGGGAAATTGCGGCCAAGGAAAAACGCCTACAATGAGTGTGTCGGTGCAGAGGAGGCGCAAAGCAGCGGTGGGAGTCACTCGAATAATGACGCGGCAATGAATCAGAGTGGTGTAGTAGGGGGTGCTAACCACAAGCCCATCGGGGGAAACCTTTTCGTAAACAAAATTGACGGAGAGCTCTTCCCCCAGAAGAAAAATCGAGGGTATCACAACCTGTATGAGAAAGATGCCAAGGAGGTGCACTTCATTTTAAAGAAGGGAGACAATTTTCCCAAGAGGAGGGGTTGCCCTTTGTATGACAGGAGGGGCTTCCCTTTATATGATAGAAGGAGCAGGCGTGGGAGGGACCCTCGGTGTGGTGTGGGGGGAAAGGGGAAAAAAGTACAAAAGAAGGGGCAACAACAAAAGGGGGGCAGTCAGAGTGCTGAAAGCGACGATCATGTCGAGAGTGACAGGAGGAAAACGGCGCAGAGAAGCCAAACGAAGCTAGAACAACTGGTGAAGGATTTCCTCAAAATTAAGGAAAAGTACTTCCTGTGCCACCACGAAGAAAGAATAACCATTTTGTTCTTTTACCTCATCAGCCACTCGAGTAATTTAAAAACATTTTATTACATCTGGAATCAGTTCTTTGACATTGTGCGAAATAAATACGAGAACAACGAATATATTTTCAATGACCAAATGTTTCTGTCTTATGGTCCTTTGAATGTTTATTCGTACAGATGCTCCATCCTGTCTCAATACATAAAGGCGTTAAACATTTCTACTCAGCAATTTAAAATTAACGAAATGAAAAATCATATGAAATTGAAGAAGACGCTAAGTATTTTTTGTAACGACAGCGATAATCCTTTGGGGAAGGAAAACTCCAACAATGGAAGTCTGTCCAATATAAATGAGAATGAAGCTTTTTTAAGCATTTCTCAGAGTAAGAGCAGCAATAGCTTGAGCACTTTTTTTAAGAAAAATACATTTGAGGAAAATGTTTTTTATTCTTGTGAAATGAATGATAGCAGCAGTGTGTGCAATCGGAATGGTTACTATGGAGGCGTTCGAAATGAAAACAGCTCACCCAATTTGGAGTTGGAGTACAATGGGAGCACGGAGTCGATTGCGCGTGTTGCGTCTCAGGCGCCTCCCGCGCCCGGTCTCTCCTCTGCCAGCAACAGCGCCAGAAGCGGTGCGAACGTTGGCCCGAGTAACGACGCGAACGTTGCCGCCAGTAGCAACAGCATTAGTAGTAACATGGGTGACAACAGCGCAAATGGGAATAGCGGCAAACCGGCAAAATGCAGCAGCAGCAGCGCGCCCCCAGGAACCGAAAAAAAAAAGGCAAACAAAAAAAGAAGCTTGATGATATCGAATTTTTTCCCTTACCCATTAAATAACATGGAGCTGTTCATAACTAAGAACAACGGAGGAACGAAGGAAGTGAATGACCAAGACGATATGATCACCCTCATACATGAAATATTAAGAAGCAACAACAAGGACAGTTACACTTATACGGATTTCACAAAATGGTATAGAAATAATATAGGCAATTTTTGCTACACCTCCCAAAATGTGCTCAAGTACTGTTACAAGAGCATAAAGGAAAGCTACTTTGTTAATGTAGATGTAGGTTATATAAAAGAGAAATGCAAAGAAATTGACGAAAAATATTATAAGGGGGGGAGTACAAATGATTCCCTTCTGAAAAAGGGGAAGGAGGATTACTTGAAGAAAATGTTCCAGTACGTAAAGAACAATTACGATTATATAAACAAAATTAAGTGTCCATTCAACACCTTTTTCGTGGGTGAGCTGAACCTCGACAACCTCCTAAATTTAAATATAATTGATTTACTCGACTGTGCATTTAAGGTCTTTTTCATTTCTTATTTAAACTCCGTGATGAACTCCAAGTTGATTTACGTGAGCAAGATTCAGGACATTCTGGCGAGCATGTTTACCATTATAAAAGGTATTCACAGGAGGGGAAAAAGGAGGAGTAAGAAGAAGAGGAAGAAGAGTAAAGGGGGAGAGGGAAAGCACCGCGGTGAGGGCAATCGTGGTGGTGACAACGTTGTAGAGAAGCCTCCCGGGAGTCAACACACTGCGTCTGAATTGGATAAGGATGCACGAGGGAAGGATGATCACCCTGGTGATGGCAGCCTTCCCAACTCGACTTCCAAACATGATGTTGGTGATGCTGCTGATCGTGGTGATGGAAGCCGTCCCGACTTGAAGAAGGATCACGTAAACCGTTGCCCTCTTCGAACTAACCCTTGTAATAATGATAATGTAGCGAAGCAGGGGAACAGCAGCGATGAAAACTTCCCTTCTGCTCCAAAGAGTGATAACCACCAAGGAGGAAAAGAAGCGCCCCCCACGAGTGATGACAATCGAGACAACCTAAGCCATGCAGCGGCTACTACACTAAGGGACAATCCTCCTGCCCATGTTGTGAAGTCACAAGAAAATATGAACGACTCCGAAATAAACAGCAGCGATAATGTAGACTTTTGCTACAGTAGTGAACAAAAGGCAGGATGTAAAAACAGCTTCAACATTAACAAGGAGGAAAATTATTTTAAAAATTACTCTGTTGATTCAGAAAAAAAAAAAAAAAAAAGTACATGCAAAAATACCAACTTTTCCAGGGAAATTAAAAAGACATGCAAAAAAAGGTACCAAATTATTTTTAACCAGAAATTATTTCTCTTATTTGAAACATGTGAGCAAATGTTTAACAAAGCAGCATGGCTGTATAAAATTTTTAATAACGGTTTGAATGAAAAAAGGATTTTCTCTTTGATTAATACCATCCTGGAGTCGGAAGAAAAAGAAATTATTATCAACCCCAAGGACCAGAAATATTTTTACGACTTTATTAAAAACATTTGTCTCAATGAGAACAACAAGAATAGCGCGTTTGAAAAAAAGTGGAGCAGCAGTGCCTCCAAGTTCCACAAAATAAACAAATCCATTTCGTCAAAAAATTTAAATAAAACTTTTAAGGCGAAAAGCGAGAGAAGCGAAAGGAGTGAGAAAAGTGAAAAAAGTGAAAGAAGTGAAAGAAGCGAAAAAAGCGAACGAAACGAAAGGGGAGCAAAAAATGACAACAACAGCAGCAGTGCTAAGAACCCCGTGATTAATAACCCTTATCAAAAATTGGGTGTATCTGTGAAGGTAAAAAAGAATGATTCACAGCCTTCCCAAACGACCAGTGATGAAAAAAATATGCTCAACAAAGATAAGCTGTCCCTCCTCTTGCACTCTTACAATAAGGAACAGAATATTCAGGAGTGCATTATTGACTTTGTCGACCATAGCTTTGGAGACCCTCTCTACAACACCCCCGCGCGCATGTACTGCAGCGTGAACCCGGTCGACACAACGGTTTCGTTTGTTAAGACGACTTCCATTTTGTGACTCCGCGTTAGTGGAGGGCTTATTTCTGCCGTAGTTAGACCGATTGGGCACCACGTCCGCTTCGTGTTTAACCCATTTTTGAATCCCCCTTTTACACATTAGCAGCCCGTCCATTTGTTTGTTTATGTAACTTTTTTTTTTTTTTTTCTTGTACACTTTTGTCCGCGAATTCTCCACAACTGGAGCAAACCGGTTCCATTCGAACGATGACCGCTTCCGCGGCTGCTTATCTGTATGCACGTTGCGTGTGGCGCCGTGTTTCCCCCAACGCTGGTGAGGTCTTATAAATTATGTTTTTAAAAAAGCATTTGCGCGCAAGTTGGTGACCAGCAAAAAGAAATTAAAATGTAAACGAAATGGATAAGTGAAAAAAAAAAAAAAAAAAAAAAAAAAAAAAAAAAAAAAAAAAAAAAAAAAAAAAAAAAAAAAAAAAAAAAAATCAAAATGCGCTCCGAAAAAAAAAACGCCCAAGCGTCGCAGCGAAAGGGCGAAGGAATATCTGCTTTGTAAAGCCTCTATACGAGGGGGGGGGTATGTGCTATACGAGATAATTAAACAGATCCTTCGCCACACAGTGGTCGATACATATATACATTTCTTCATGCTGCCCAAGACAATTTCCCTTCATTTCTGGTTTGGCCTGTACTCTGCTTACGCAGCTCTGATACTCGTGGACGGGTCGCACACATTTTGCCTGGCACTTTTTTTCCAACTCGATCCTTGGGTCCACGGTCCTTTGACTTTCCTCCCTCTCTTTAAACTTAGGGAAGCGAACAAAAAACTCGGTGTAATACGGGTATGACATGGTTGCGGCTAAGGGGGAGGGGGGATATGCCCTTCCAACGATCGTATGCTCGTCTGTGCCTGCAGCTGGGCGATTTCTTCAGATGCGAGGTTTTTGTGTGTGTATGCGCTTGCGTCACGAGGATTCCGCTTTAACTAAACACAACAGGTGCCCTTCTCCGACTTTTCCTCAGTTGCGCACGCGTACAACTCTCGCGGGACTTGGCTACACAGCGTCTCCTAATGCGATGTAAAATGGGGATGCCGATTTTGTGTTATTTTGCTCGCAAATTGGGGATGCGCAATTTGGGTCACTTGGGCAAGGCGGTGGATACCATGAGGTAAGAAACATGGAAAGGCAACAAGAAAGGGTAAATGAGAAGGGAAAAAAAAAAAAACGAAAAAAATAAAATAAAAAATTGCAATGAGCACAGGAAAAATGTGACACAATTTATCGAAACAGGCGAAGCAAAAAAAACAAAAAAAGGGGAACCGCCTGACGTGCACCCCAAAACTGCGTAGCTTGCCGAGCCCCTAAAAGTGTACACCGCGTGTCCCCCCTTCTTTTGCGAGGTGCACTTGGCGCTTTCTGTGAGAACAAATTACAAATGGAAATTTTTTTTTCAAAAAATGAAATCAACTCCAGCAAAGTTGTATCGCGTCGAAGATTAAAATGAGGTGAATTAGAATCGCATTTGCTTCCAAGCCGTGCCCATATTAGTCTACCGCGCCGGGTACACAAGGAAGGCACAGGGGGAGGAACCCCGCCGCCGCAAATAGGCCCATATAGCTACTTGCGCGCAAAGTTGGATACGTGCAACGTTAGCTGGAACAAACAGTTGGCCTGAAACGTTGTTGCCAGACGTGGAGGTTGAGAGTATTATTGTAAAGCGCTAAGAGTGGAGGTTACAAAGGAAGAACAAATAAGTATACACAACGGTATGCTCCATATATAAGTATGCATGGGACGCTCTAAACATTTATGTTTTTGTTTAGAGGAAGGGGCGTAAATTTGTAGCGGGTCTGTAGTTGAATGAGGCGTGGCCAAGAGGAACAGTGCGGTGTATATCAGGCAGGGGTGTAAGTACATATATGTGCAAGAGCGAATATGTTAATTTGTGTGACGTCGGAAGGAAAGGATCCTCAGGTGAATGCACAGACGTAGAGACACATAAGCGCGCACACCCCTGAGCAAAGTTGTTCAAGATCTGACACCAATGCTATGAGCAGCATGGTTGTGAAACTGGGAGGACCCTCCAAATTGTTCCTCCTGGTATGCTTCATCTTTCAGCACATTGACGCAATTCTGCACCTGAATAATCGCCACGCGAATCACGAAAAGGGAAGAAGTAAACTCAGCGTGAATTTCAAGGGGAGACGCGATATCGCTATGGGGAAAAGAGGAGGCAGGTTCAGCGACAGGGGACACAAATATGCAAAGGTTGGTACTCCATCGATAATGGATTTCGTCTCTCTTAAGGAAAGGAAAAAAAAAGTTCAACAAAGGGCGTACTGTAGTGGGAGGCCCTTAAATGAACTTGGGGAGTATTTGCTACGCCACGTAAGCAGTTCTGTGTTGAGAAGGAATTTGTTTTTTTTAACTCCTCCATTGGGGAAGCAAGATGGGCAGAGAACAACGTGGCGCTTCTACACAGGAAAGGTATGGGAGAAAAAACCCAAGTGTGGATCGAGGCTCGCGATGGGGGAAACGGGCAAGGAAGATACTACCCCCTCTGAGGAGAGTGTAGATAGGGAGGTTCATGAAAATGGGCAAGATGGAAAACGTCTTGTCGTGGGGATGAACGAGGACAGGTCCGCAGAAGAAAGAGAAAAAATACAAAGGCTAAAAGAATACATGAGAAAAGAACTGCTGACCATTGAGTATATTGACGAAGAAAATGAACTCAGCGAAGTTCAACTGAAGGTGAACTTGAAGGGAAGTCTGAGGGAACACTACTATGACATGTGTGTAAAACAATATAAGGAAAATAAACTCAAGGAAAATAAATACGAATATTCTTATTTGAAAGACATCCCTATTAACAATTTAATTAATTATATTAAGAAAGAGGATTATTTAAACATTTTCCTCAAGCATGTGAATGATGATATAATTATGGTTTATAAAAAAATGAAGAACCTACATTTGATCGGATCCCCAAGACTTATGAATAACATTAACCACATAACCATTAGCAAATTTAGCGATGTGCATTTAACCTTTTCAGTTGATAAATTCCCCAAAATAAAATTTAACAAATCTTATATTCGGTTACCAATGAAGGTAGAAATTCCTCCATATGAAAAAGGCAGCACTTTTAAGGAATTCCTAAAGGTTATAAAAAATGAAAAGGAAAAAGAAAATGAAATTATAATAAATGTTGATGAAAATCATAAGGTGGATTGGAATGACGATGTTTATGTTAATGTGTGCAGGGGGTGGGTGTACAATTCGAGTAATGAGTATTGTAGTGATATGTGTGGCGTGGAGGGAGAAGATACACAGAAGAAATTGAATTCACGTGGAGAAAAAAACGGCCAAGAAGAAAATGCCGATGATGCAGCATTAAATGAAGCAATGAACAGTCGAGATAAAATTAAAGACCTCATCGATATTGACAAAACTGAAGAAGAATTTATTAACAGCGCAGATATGGGTGATGAGAAGAAGGAGGAAGAGAAGTATATGCACGACAATGACGAAAAACTTTTTAATGATACAAATATGAAAGGCATGGAAGAGTATAAGTACTATGACGAATTTTTGCAGAGCTCTAAATTTACAAAGTACTTTAAAGAAGGGTATCAGCTGCCGACTGATGTCATTTCCATGAATGGAGAAGTCATCACGGTGAAGGAGAATTACAACCCCTTGGGGTTTAACGAGTCTCTTATTGGACTTTCCAGAAATGAGAAAAAAAACATAACCGCCTACCTCCCTGTGGATCTGTTCAAGGCGCACTTTGACTCCTCCCCCTCTGTGGAGGACCAGAAGAACTGCGAAGAAGGACCTCCCAAGGTTGTTAACGACATTGACAAGGAGAGCATAAGCAAGTTTAGGGAAGTCATTTACACTGAAATTAAGAAGCTCAAGAGCGGCAGCTTCTTTCGGGAGCTGGAGGATATTCTGAAGAGCAACCAGGGCAAGTTCTTCGACCGGGAGTCAGAAAGCGGGCAAGGAGCTACCGGTCAGGCGACTACCGCAGAAGGGAACTGCCGAGGCCCCGCCGCGGCGCAGGACATTGAATTTATCCTAAACGATAACAGCCCCTTGTATGATGGAGAAGAGATGCAGGGTGAGGACGAAGAAGGAGCGCCATCGCATCTGCAGTCGCTACACGCACCGCCGGAAGGGGAGGACCACCCCATAGGAGACGAAGCGGACCAGGAGGAAGAAGTCCAGTTCAACAAAAACTTCGATAAATACCTGGAGGAGCTGCTCAAAGATGATATCAACTCCCTGGACGAGAAACTATATGGGAGAGGAGCAAGTTCAAAGACGGGGGACATTTTGAGCAACGTTTATGACCCCAGTGAGTACGAGAAATGTGAAGAGGGCAATGCAAAAGGGGGTATGGGTGAAGAATCGGGTGATGAAGAAATGCTAAATGATTATATACTTGGAAAGTGTGACTTGGTCAAATGCATATTGGAGGTAGAGGTGTTAGACATTAAGTCTCGAAAAAGGTGCGAACAAGATATTAACGATTATGTGAAAAAAAAATACAACAAAACGGTGGATGAGCTTCATGATGAAATTGAAGAGAGAGCCATGAAGGACATACAGCACAAATGTGTTGACCAGAGGAGAATGGAAGCTTATAAAAAATTAATGGAAATTTCGTCTCTAAATGTACCCAGAACATTGTTTCAGGCGCAAGGGAAAATACTATACAGCAGTTATTTGAAGAAAAAAAAAATGCAAAGCAGCGAAAATGATAAAAACGAAAAAGTGTTAAGTTTTGAAGAGTTCATTAACAAATCCCAGAAAGAAATTTATGATCAAGTGAAATTTTCCTTTATTGTTAAAACGATTTTCCAAAACGCCAAATTAAAGGTAAATTACGAAAACGTAATAAAGGACGTGTTAAAAACGTTACTTAAAAGCCCAACAAATAATGTGAAGTCTTTAATAAAGAAAATTCATACAATTCACCAGGCGCAGAGCGTCCTTGATTTTGTGTCCCTCAATGGTGACATTTCGTTCGCGACGAATAATAAATCGTCTGTCAATTTTTCAGTCACCATGAAAAAGGGGTCCCACTACACCAAGGAGGAATTCCTGAATGCAGACGAGGCGTTGGAGGATGGCCAAACAGGTCTACACACGGGGGAGGTATCACCATCGGGGGAAAAAAACCTTTATGGTGAAGGGACGGCAGGAAAAAATGACACACAAAATGGTGAAGACCAAAAAGGGAAACAGAAAATTTTTAACTTTACAGACGAATCCAATTTCGTAGTGGAAAACAAAAAGGAAAATAATGAACAAGTGGAGCTGGAATATTTTACCTTTAAAAAGGGTGCGAATTATACCAGATATTTTGAAGAAAAATATAAAAAAAGATGAAGCAAGAGAAGGAATAAAAAAGCAGTACAAAAAGCGGCTTCGGGGGGAGGGGGGGGGGAAATTCCCCCCACATTTGATGTTATACACCTGCATGGATTGGCGTTATATAACATCACACCATTGGGGATCGTCCCATGGATTCATTTTTTGGAAGATTAATAATTTGTGATCCCGCTGGTGAAACTAAACTCTGTTGCGCATATGTACATATATACATATACACATGTGAATATATTTTATGCGTACATGTGTATATATTACATACATTATATATTACATGTACGTAGACCCATGCGCAGCGCTTGTGCAACGGCGCGCAGGTACCGCGTTCGGTTTGCGTACACATAATAACCTCTCACGTGCATGTACACCCATTTGTGTACACAGAAAAAAAAGTAACACTTGCATCTTGGCGCGCCCCCCTTGGCCTATTCGTTTGAAGTGGAAGAAGCAAAAAAAAAAAAAACAAAAAAAAAAAAAAAGCGACATCGAAAAAGGTATATTTTTTTTTTGGCATTCTTTTGTGCTTATCGCGGAAAGGTAAGCAGATTGATATGAGAACATTAAAGAAAAAAACAGATGAACACACTTTTTCGCCTTTTTTTTAAAAAGTGCAAGCGCAAAATTATACAGCGACTTTAGCGCGGACGCATGCCTCCCTGTCGTTAATAAATTTGCTCTTGATTTTCAATTCATTTTATAAAGGCAACATTTTTTTTCATTATAAAAATGGAAGAAAATGTCTTCCTTGTTTGAAATCATTTTACATTTAGCTCAAAGTTTTTCGATTTTTTTTGATGTTTTTTTATTTTTTTTGATTTTTTTTTTTTTTTTTTTTTTTTTTTTTTTTTTTTTTTTTTTTTTTTTTTTTTTTTTTTTTTTTTTTTTTTTTTTTTTTTTCCTAACATAACACACAAATTATATAGAAAACAATGTTGTCACTGCTGGGGTGTTTTACTATTGCAACTTGTTCACGCAATGTAACGTGGTATATAATTTCTTCCCGCCGCCATTTTTTTTGACCGTCATCACGACTGCTGTGTGTTTGCCTTGTACACCTTTCCCCCTCTTGTTATATTATACACAAGTACTTTTGAAGAAAGTGAGGAACGTGTAATGCATAGCTACTAAGTGTGCTGTTTTCTCTACAGCGTCCTCGTTCTATAGGTGGAACGCCTGGTTTGTGTAAACGACGCTGTAAAACCACAGCGCGCTGTAACCATTACACTTTAACAATCCCCCACTGAAGGTGTAACACCATATATATATATATGTATATGTATATATATAATGACGGATGCAAGAGAATTTGATCACACTGGAAGTTGCAAGAATA